GGTATTCTGGGCCTGTCGGCGCCACTGGCTGAACACGACCGGGCGCCTCGGTCGTGGCTCCAACTTGACCTCCGCTGGCATCGCGTAGTCGTCGAAGTCCTCGCCCCGACACACCGGGAAGTCGGCCGCGGACAGGCTCCATTTCGGCAGCTCAGGGCGGTCTTTACCTCCCCATGAGAGCGTCGCCGATCCATATGCCATCCTGTTCGTCACGGTCGTCGGGCAACCTACGGCCAACATTAAACGCTCGCGGCCCTCGCGTGCTCGACGGAGACCGTGGAAGAGGTCGCGCCCGAGGGGCCCCTTGCAAATATCGACCTCCGCGGTGTCGCACCCTCTCGCCAGGAACACGTCCAGCTCCTCAGCCTTCTTGATGGCAGCCAGCGCGCACAGCTGCGCGACCTTGCCGTCGCCCCTCTGAAAGAGCCCTGCTTGGATCGCGTGCAGGAGCTGCTTGTGGCCCTGGTGCTGCTGACCGCGTAGCTGCCGCGATCGACGAAGAGACTGGCAACGCCTGGGACGGAGTTCGTTGCGCCGAATCGCAGGCGCGCAGGTGGGACAAGGCCGGGCGGCCGGTCCGCCGGCGGTGCCCGCACGCTCGGAGATGGCGCGTCTGCCGACGGGGCGGCGCCGGCGGGTGCTGCGTCGGCGGCCTTCGAGGCCGGCGGCTGCGCCTCGAGCTGCAGCCGCCCCGCCGCAGCCGGGCGGGGCGGGGCCGCCCCGGCCTGCCGGGCTCCGTCGATGCGCATCTGGGCCAGCTGGTTCTTCCAACGCTCCGCGTGCATGGAGCGCGCGCTCGTCGGCCTCCGTCTCGGCATAGTCTGCCAAGTAGTCCGCGTAGTGGGCGAGGCGCTCGACCGCAGTACTGATCTCCTCGTCGAAGCCTGAGGCGACGCACTGCAGGGCGTCGGCCTCGTCGGACCCGCTGCCCCTGGCCTCGAGGTAGACGCTCAGCATGGCCCCCCCTGATCTAGGTCGTCGGCGTCGGACTCATGGCCCTGCCCGTCGTCCCTCTCACGGGATGGGCGTCGGTCTGAGCGGGGGGGCGCCCGCGATAGAGATCCCCCACTGCTGCTGCCCCGGCCCCCCCTGGAAGGAGCTCGTGGCGACCCGCTGCGGTCCAGCCGCGTCCAATGATCGTCCGGGCCCTTCATCGTGGCGTCGAGCTCGCTCCTCTCCCCGACTGGCATATCTCCTGTGGCTGAGGCGGACCCCGCTGGATACCAGTTGATGATGGTGCTGCCCCGTTTTCGAACAAGCTGCCGCTGCCAAGCTTTGAGAGAGCGATGCCTGCCCCCGACGGGCTTGCCTTGCCAGGGCTGCTGCTTCTCCCGCGCGACCTCTGGCAGCGCAGATCCCGCCGCGGCGATCCCCATCTCGCGGGCGCCGGCTGGTGGATGATAGAGGAGCGCCTCGAGGAAGCCTTGCGGTGGCCTGCCTGCTGCGCTGAGGGCGGGGTGAGCCCCCGGGGTGGGCCTGCGCCTCGTCCAACTTCAGGGTGAAGTCGAGACTGGTCCCATCGTGTCCGTGGGTGACTCCAATCCAGAGCGCCTCATCTTTCTTCTCGTCGCCCTCGCGGCGCTGGCAGAGGAAGATGACCCACTGGGCGCCGCCCGCCCAGTTCACGCGGGCCCCGAAGGAGGTACTTCAGGTCTCCGGAGCCCAGGTCGTCGAGGTCGATGTCTTCGGGGCTCGGGGGCGGGCGCCGCCGGCGACTCGAAGCGCGCCGACTGGAGGCCTCCCGCGGGGGCGGGCGAGCCACGCCTGAGGGGAGTGCTGTAGCCGCTGTTCTGCAGGACTGCTGGGACGTTGGCCCCCGGGCCCCTCCCGCCCCGCGCAGCCCGCCGCCGGATGCCGGCGAACACTCCTGTGGGGGGCGCGGCGGCTGGCCTCTCCGCCAAGATGGGCGAGGCAGAGAGGGGCTCCCGCTGATGACCCGACTACCTGGTGGAAGCAGGTGACAATCGAGCACTTGTCGCCAAGCCGCGTGGCTTTGCACACCTGCTTGTGGTGCTCGCAGAGGCAAACCGTGGCGTTCTTGCCATCGGCCGGCGGCGGTAGGTCCGAGGCCTGCCCGCCCCCCCAGAGCAACGCCACGGGGGTCGCGTCGGCTGCGTCGCGGCAGCCGCCCGGCGCCGAGTCGTTTAGCCTTCGGCGTCGTCGGCCTTCCTCCACTCCGCGCAGCGGGCCTTCCCAGCTGGTACACATCAGGTGTCGCTCTAGCCAGTGCATAGTGTGTTCGGCCTGGTCGCTCATCGGCCCTCATCGCTGGCTCCTTCCAGCCTATGCCGCTCTGCACCGTGCACAGCTGTGCGGCACTGCGTTCGTGCTCCGCAGCCAGCGTCTGCAGTCGTTGTTGGTGACGTGGGCCGCGCGCCGAGTGGTTTAGCCTTCGGCGTCGCCGACCTTTGTCCATCACGACATGCAGCGGGCTTTCCAGGCTGGTGCACATCAGGTGCAGCCTCAGCCGTGGCGTAGGGTTTTGACTCGGGCGCTCTGTGGCTCTCGTCGCTGGCAACTCCAGCCCACGCCACGCTGCGCCGCGTCGCTTCCCCCCCTCTGTGCTTGCGGCGGTTAGCTGCTCCCCCACCACGCGCGTCCACTCAGTCGGTATGCAGCTGCTCTTCAGCTTCGCACCGCCAGTACACATCTGGCGCAGCCGCAGCGGTGTGCACTGCCACCTGTCCTGTCGCTTTGCGGCCAGCGCTGGCGCACTCCAGCCTAGGCAGCATCGCACCGCGCAGCCTCTCCCTTTTTCCACTACGCGGCTCTTGCGGCGGTTAGCTGCCCCCCCCCCCCCTCCCCACCCCACCCCCACCCCCCACACACACACACACACACACACACACACACACACACACACACACACACACACCACACCACACCACACCACACCACACCACACCACACCACACCACACCACACCACACCACACCACACCACACCACACCACACCACACCCCACACACATGTGTTCTCGCAGTCGGAGTGCAGCTGCCCTTCAGCTTCGTACTTCTTGAGGCGGTGTGCTGCGCTTCCTTTTCCACACGCCCTGTCGCTCTCCGCGGGTTGCAGCAGCGCCCCCACACCCGCGCGACACGGTGGTTCGGGTCTTCGGCCAGCGACTTCTGTCAGTGGTAGGTTTCGTTGGCCGCGCGCCGAGTGGGTCAGCCTTCGGCGTCGTCGGCATTCGCCCCCACCACGTGCCGCTGGCGTCCCAGGCTGGCACACTGCTGTCTGTCTGGGCAGTTGCTCGGAGCTTGGCGCCGCTAGGGCGACTTACTCCGCAGCCTGCACCTACGTTCGCTAGGTGCGTCCTTGTGAATGCGGGGCATTTTGCTCCGTGCACGTGCATTACACGCCTAACGTGAAATTTGCCTTTTCCGCCGTCCCCAACACGCCTGTCGCCAGCTGACCCTCGTCGCACGGCCGCTGACCAAAAAGTATCCCCACCAGCCGACCATCCCCCCTGCTGGGCTGATTTGTCGCTGTCGCCACTGGGCTACCCTTCCGCCCTTTCTCCTCGTCGCACTGGGGGCGTACCCATTCCCCTGGTGGCTCCTGGAGGGCGCTTACCATTCGGTTTTTCTTGTGGCCCTGGAGACGGCCTGCTGGATTGTACGTCGCCTACGCTATGGTGTGAGTCTGCGGTTTCGCTACCCCCCCGTACTTCAAGTCCCCGCTTTTCGGCAAGGTACTTCGTCCTCTTCGTCGCCTGAGCCTGATCCCCTGCGCGCCCTCTTTTCCGTGTCTCTCGCTTTCGTCTGCCTCTGTCTCCGTTTTGTAGTTTTCGCCACCCTTGTGCCCCCTTTCCGCGTCACACTTGCGACAGCAGGGTTTGCGCTTCTTTTTCGACTTGATGACGGCGCGCGGCTGACCGCGTCGCTCGCGAGCAAAGAAGTATCCCCACCAGCCCAGCCAGAAACGATGTCCAGGCGAATTAAAGAGGAGGACGGCCGAACCGTGCGAAGGAGGGAGGAGGAGAAGGAGGAGGCTGGATATATGGATTGATGAGGGAATGGGGAAAGGGAGGATGAATAGAAGGAGGAGGAGGAGGTGGAGGAGGAGGACGACGACGAAGAGAAGGAGTAGGAGGAGGAAGGAGGAGCAGGAGGGGGAGGGTATGCAAAAGGACCAGAGGCCTCTTGGATGCATCTCGGAGCCTCTTCGGATATCTCTTGGGCGTTTCTTGGAGGCCTGTTGGAACGTGTTGGGGGTCTCTTGGCGGCCCCGGGGTGCTCTTGGGCGTCTTGGGTGCCTCGGGGGAGCTTATTGGGGCCGCTTGGGATCATATTGGGGGCCTCTTGGGGCCATCTTCGGGCCTGTTTGGGTCTCCTGGGCCCCTCTTGGGGCCATCTTGAAGGGGGCCCCCCCTCGGGAGCCCCAAACATCACCTCCTGGACCCCTCTTGGAGCGCTCTTGGAGCGTTTTTGGGCACTTTTGGGGCTGCATTGGAGCTCTCTTGAGGCCTCGGAAAGCCATCGGAAGCGAAAGGGCGAAAAGACAAAAGCATTGGTTGTCCAGGAAGGTTTGGGGAGGATGTTGGCCTCCTGGGGGCTTCCTTGGAGGTTTCGGAGGCCTCTTGGAAACCATCTTGAGGCATCTTGGGCTATCTTCAGCCATTTTGGAGGTCACACTGGGGTCTCCGAGGCCCTCTTGGAGCCGTCTTGGGCCATCTTGGACGCTCTGACCGCTCGCGGAACTCCCCCTCCAGGTACAAAGAAAAATGGAGGTTGGAAGAGGAAACTTCCTAAACCACATACGCCCTAAAGCGCTGGTGGGATTTGGATCCGAAAGGTTGTACCGCTAGCGCCCCCCGTGCACCCATGCACTTCTGAGGTCCACAAGGGGCCCCAGTTCCTTCTTCAGCGTTCCTCGTGGAAGCAGCTTTACTGTAGCCCTGAGTCGTTTCAGCGAGCACCTCCCAGGAGTTGCCTCCTGACCTACGCCCGTCGCCCTCCTCCCGCATCGCGCCCCGCCCCCTCCCCGCCCCGCGTCAGGACAACAAGAGGTTCCTGGCCTCTCTCTTCGCCCGCGTGCGAGCGAGACTGAGGGATGCGAGCGACGCGGGGCTGGAAGCCCCCGATGAACTCGGGGCCCCATTCAGAGAGCCCGAGGGTCCAGTGCAGTCTTGAGAGCACGCGCGGTGTGAGGACACGGAGGGCGGCCCCAGTTTCGCCCGTGTCTCACCGCTCCACGGCTGGCCCTCTCCCGGGTACGGATCGGGGCCGGGCACGAGCAGGATCGAGGAACAGCTGCGCGTGGGCATCAGAAAGGTGGTGTGGAAGGTGTCATCCCTCTCCTGCTCCCTCTCTCCCTCCCCCCCCTCCCAGGGGTCACCAGGGGTCTCCGGAAGTCGCCAGGGCTTGCAGGAGGCAAGGGAACTCGGCCCACAGCCACCCAAGGCTCGGCGCTGCCGAAGCTGCGGCGGGCTGCACGAACGCAAGAGGAGGCAACACAAACATGCGCACACACACACACACACACACACACACACACACACACACACACACACACACACACACACACAAACACTGGCATGCACACACAACACACACACACACAAAAAAAAAAATGTTCAAGACCTTGACCCCCAAATCGCATTCCGTATCGCATGCCAGTGTCCAGACAGGACGACGGCAATCGAGGCAGAGCAGGCGGCGCGATTGTATTACCTTGCGTGCACGCTGCGCACGGTTTCCAAGGAAGACGCTGAGGTGATTTGATGTGCCTCTTACTCCTCCTCCTCCTCCTCCTCCTCCTCCTCCTCCTCCTCCTCCTCCTCCATACCCTCGAGGATTGAAGAGGCATGCGTGCTGCACGCTGCAGTTTTGTTCCCAGTCATCAATGGTTCCCTCGTCCTCGTCTTGAGGAGACAGCGGCCCGCGTTCTCATGCTCCTCCTCCTCCCTCCTCCTCCTCCTCCTCCTCCTCCTCCTCCTCCTCCTCCTCCTCCTCCTCCTCCCGCTGCCCCCTCCTCCTCCCGCTGCCCCCTCCTCCTCCTCCTCCTCCTCCTCCTCCTCCCACTGCCCCCTCCTCTCACCCCATCCTTATTAGTTCTGCTCTCCGCATCAGTCTACCATTTCGGTACACCCCTCACACGTTTCGTCGCCCTACAGGGAGCTCCACCGAAGGTCCCAGTGGCGCAGTCCGCATGCGTCCCCGCCACCCATGGCGGCAAATCCCTCTCACGCTTCGTAGCCCCATACGGAGCTCCCCCGAAGGTCCCAGTGGCACCGTCCGAATGCGTCCCCGCCACCCGTTTCGGCAAGCCCCTCACGCGCTTCGTCGCCCTACAAGGAGCGTCACCGAAGGTCCCACTGGCGTAGTCCGCATGCGTCCCCGCCAACCATGTCAGCAAACCCCTCACACGCTTCGCGGCCCCATACGGAGCTCCACCAAAAGGTCCCAGTGGCACCGTCCGCATGAGTCCCTGCCACCCGTTTCGGCAAATCCCTCACACGCTTCGTGGCCCTTCACGGAGCTACACCGAAGATCCAAGTGACACATTCCGCATGCGTCCCCGCCACGAAGTTCGGCTAACCCTTCACGCGTCTCGTGGCCCCATACAGAGCTCCACCGAAGGTCCCAGTGGCACAGTCCGCATGCGTCCCCGCCACTCATTTTGACAGAACCCCTCACACGCTTCGTAGCCCCACATGGAGCTCCACCGAAGGTCCCAGTGGCACCGTCCGCATGCGTCCCCGCCAGTAATTTCGGCACACCCCCCATGCGCTTCGTGGACCCACACGGAGCTCCACTGAAGGTCCCAGTGGCATTGTCAGCACGCGTCCTTGCCACCCGTTTCGGCAAGCCCTTCACACGTTCCGTGGCCCCATACGGAGTTCCACCGAAGGTCCAAGTGGCACAGTCTGCATGCGCTCCCGCCGCCTATGTCGGCAAATCCCTTCCCACGTTTCGTGGCCCCGAACAGAGCTCCAGCGAAGGTCCCAGTGGCGCAGTCCGCATGCGTCCCCGTCACCCATGCCGGCAAACATCTCACACTTCGCAGCCCCAGACGGAGCTCCACCGAACGTCCCGGTGACACCGTCCGCATGCGTCCCCGCCACACACTTAGGCAAACACTTCACACGCTTCGTGGCCCCAGACGGAGCGCCACCGAAGGCCCCAGAGGCGCAGTCCGCATGCGTCTTCGCCATCCATGCCGGCAAACCCCTCACGCGTCGTGGCCCCGTGCAGGGCTACCCCGACGGTGAGAGTGGCACCGCCCGCACCCCTCACACGCTCCGTGGTCCCATACGGGATTCCACCAGAGGTCCCAGTGGCGCAGTCCGCGTGCGTCCCCGCCACCCATGGCAGCAAACCGTGGCCCATACGGAGCTTCACCGAAGGTCTCAGTGGCGCAGTCCGCCTGCGTCCCCGCCATCCATGGCGGTAAACTCCTCACACGTTCCGTGGCCCCATACAGAGCTCCACCGAAGGTCCCAGTGGCATTGTCAGCACGCGCCCCCGCCACCCATTTCGGCAAACACTTTACAATATTTGTTGCCCTACAGTGAGCTCCACCGAAGGTCCCAGTGGCACCGTCTGCATGCGTCCCCGCCACGAAGTTCGGCAAACCTCTCACACGTTTGGTGGCCCCATGGGGAGCTCAACCGAAGGTCCCACTGGCGCAGTCCGCATGCGTCCACGCCGCCCATGTCGGCAAATCACTTAAACGTTTCGTGGCCCCGTACGGAGCTCCACCGAAGATCCCAGTGGCACTGTCAGCACGCGTTCCCGCCACGAAGTTCGGCAAACCACTCACACGTTTCCTGGCCCCATACGGAGCTCCACTCAAGGACCCAGTGGCGGCGTCCCCGCCGCCCACGTCGGCAAACCCCTCACACGCTTCGTGGCCCCATAGCGAGCTCCACCGAAGGTCCCAGTGGCATCGTCCGCATGCGTCCCCGCCACCCATTTCGGCAAACCCCTCACACTTTTCGTGGCCCCGCAGTGAGCTCCACTGAAGGTCCCAGCGGCACCGTCCGCATGCGTCCCTGCCACCAGTTTCGGCACATCCATCACACGCATCGTGGCCCCATAGGAGCTCAACCGAAGGTCCCAGTGACACCGTCCGCATGCGTCCCCGCCACTCGTTTCGGCACACCCATCACACGCGTCGTGGCCCCACGGGGAGGTCCACTGGAGATCCCAGTGGCGCCGTCCGCATGCGTCCACGCCACTCCTTCGGTACACCCCTCACACATTCGGTGGCCCCATACGGAGCTCCACTGGAGATCCCAGTGGCGCCCTCTTCTTGCGTCTTCGCCACCCATGTCGGTTAACCACTCATACGCTTTGTCGCCACATATGGGGCTCCACCGAAGGTCCCAGTGGCGGTTTCCGCATGCGCCCCCGCCACCAATGTCACACCGTTCGTGGCCCATTAGGGAGCTCCTCCGAAGGTCCTGGTGGCACCGTCCGCATACGCCCCCCGCCACCCAAGCCCCTCACACGCTTCGTGAGCCCACAGGGAGCTCAACCGAAGGTCCCAGTGGCACCATCCTCATGCGCCCCTGCCACCCATCACACCCATCATACGTTTCGTGGCCCCATAGGGAGCTTCATCCAAGGCCCCAGTCGCCACCCGTTTCGGCACACTCTTCACATATTTCGTGGCCCCATACGGAGCTCCACCGAAGGTCCCAGTGGCACCGTCCGCATGCGTCCCCCTCCCCCTTTTCGATTAAAACCCCTCACAAGCGCCGTGGCCCCACAGGGAGCTCCACTGGAGAGCCCAGTGGCACCGTCCGCATGCGTCGTCGCCGCCCATTTCGCTACCTCCCTCAAACGTTTCGTGGCCCCGCGAGGAGACTCCACTGGAGACTCCGGTGGCGCAGTTCCCACGCGTCCCCGCTGCCAATGTCGGCACACCTTTCACACGTTGCGTTGCCCTTATTAGAAAGAGCTACACCGAAGGTCCCAGTGGCACTGTCAGCACGCGTCCCCGCCACCTATGTCGGCACAACCCTCACACGCTTCGTGGCCCCATTGGGGGCTCCACTGGACATCCCAGTGGCACCGTCCGCATGCGTCCTCGCCACTCATTGTGGTACACCACTCACACGTTTCGTTGCCCCATACGGAGCTCCACCGAAGGTCCCAGTGGCGGTTTCCGCATTTGTCCCCGACACGAAGTTCGGCATACCCCTCACGTTTCGTGGCCCCCTAAGGGTGTTCCACCGAAGGTCTCAGTGGCACCGTCCGCATGCGTCCCCGCCAACAGTTTCAGCACACCTCTCACACGCTTCGTGGCCCCATAGAGAGCTCCACCGAAGGTCCAAGTGGCAACGTTAGCATGTGTCCCGGCCACCCATGCTGGCACACCCTTCACATGTTTCGTGGCCCGATGTGAAGCTGCACCGAAGGTCCTGGTGGCACCCTCCACACGCGTCCCCGCTGCCAATGTCGGCACACTCCTCACACGCTTCGTGGCCCCACTGTGAGTTGCACAGAAAGTCCCAGTGGGACCTTTCGTCGCATGCGCCCCTGGCACCAATCTCGGCACACACAGACACACACACACACACACACCTCACGCTTCGTGGCCCCATGGGGAGCTCCACCGAAAACGATGTTCAAAACTGCATCACTCACAACAGCATCTGGTTGAGCCCTGCGCCAAGCTAATTCTTCCTTGTATGTCACAGTCTGCAGAAAACTCCAGGGACCTAGACGGCATCAAATACACCGGGGGGAGGCGGTGGGGGCAGTCTTTTCCGTCCTCAATTGCTATCACCTCGGTTGAGCTGCTCGCTGAAGCGGGTGTTGTCCTGTGTGTTTTTGTGTGTGTGCGTGTGTGTAAGTGTGTGTGTGTGCGTGTGCATGTGTGTGTGTTTGTGTGCGTTGGTCTGCGTATGTGCGTGTGCGTGTGCGTGTGCGTGTGTGCGTGCGTGTGCGTGTTCGTGTGCGTGTGTGCGTGTGCATGTGTGTAATAACCGGGAATTTTAATTAAGAAAACTTTAACCTAAGAAAACAGACTCTGGAAACCCCGTTTTCTTAACCCGCGGTCTGGGTCTGGATCTACAGAAACCCCGGGCTATAGAGATCAATACATGATAGCATAAAACATCATTTGAAAAAATAATATATTAGAATACCCAAGCGCCACAAACAGCGAATATGACAACCGAAAATCCGCATACAACCAATTCGAACACAAAAACGCCGCAAACAACAAATTTGAACACCAAAACGTTGCAAACAACATATTTCAGCACAGAAGCGCTGTAAACA